TTCCTCTCTCCTTTTCTCCCTTCTCTTCCCTCTCACCCCATCCTCCCTTCCTCCCTCGTCTACCCCCTCTCTTTTCCCTTCTCCCTTTCCTCTCTCCTCCTTCCTTCTCCTCCCTTCGCCTCCCCTTCTCTCCCTCTCCTTCCCTTCCTCCCAGCTCTCTTCTTTTCCCTCCCTTCCCTCCCTGCTCCTCCCCTATCTCCCTCTCCCTCGCCTTCCTTTCTCTCTCCTCCCCTCTCTCCTTCTCCCTCACTTACCCTCTCTCCTCGAAATATCTACCCCTCGACCTGTCGTCTCACCCTTCCTCCCTTCTCCCTCTATCTTCCCCCTCTTCCCTCCCTGCCTCTCTCTCCTTTGTCCCCTCTTCTTTCCCTCCTTGTCCTCTCCTCCTTCCCTACGTGTTCCTCCTCGTCCCTCCTTGTTCCCTCCTCACTTCCCTCTTCCCCCCATTCCCATGTATGCTGTTTCTTTCTCCTGCCGTTATCCCTCCCTCCCTCTCTCCTCTTCCTCCTCCCTCCATCCTCCTTCCCTCCCTCCGCCCCCTCCTCCCTCCCTCCATCCCTCCATCCCTTCTCCTCCCTCCCTCCTCCCCCCCTGCACCCATTCATCCCTTCTACTCTCCTCCCTCCATCCCTCCATCCCTCCCTCCCTCCATCCCTCCTCCCTCCCTCCCTCCCCCCTGCACCCATCCATCCCTTCTACTCCTCCTCCCTCCATCCCTCCATCTCCATCCTCCCTCCATCCTCCATCTCCCTCCCTCCCTCCCTCCCTCCCCCCCTCCCTCCCTTCCTCCTCCCCTCCCTCCCTCCTCCCTCCCCCCCCCCCCCACCTCCCAGAGCGCCATCAAAAGGGACCTAGAAATAAACATAGTTATTACTTACAAAGCCCCTTGCCATTATCATACGAGGGAAATAAGAAAATGGTGGGCCCCAAAGCGTCTGGTATTACTGGGTTTTATTGAGGGAGAGAGCGAGAGAGGTGAGGGGAAAGGAGGGAGAGGGAGGAGGATGGAGGATGGAGGAAGGGAGGAGGATGAGGGGACTGAGGAGGGTAGGAAGGAGGGAGAAAGCGAGAGAAGTGAGGGAGAGGGAGGGGAAGGAGGGGAGAGGGAGGAGGATGGAGGAATGAGGGAAGGGAGGGGAGAGGGAGAGGATGGAGGACTGAGGAGGGTGAGGAAGGGAGAGGAGAGGGAATGGAAATGGGAAAAGATCGAGAGAGTGAGGGGAAGGGAGCGGGAGGGGGAGGAAAAGGAGAGGAGGGATTGGAAGACTAAAGAAGAAGTGAGGAAGGGCGTGAGGGAAGGAAGGAAGAGAGAGAAAGGTAAAGAAGGAGAGGGAAGATGGAGAAAGAGGAAAGAGAAAGAGAGAGAGAGAGAGAGAGAGGAAGGAAGGAAGGAAGAAGAGAAGAGGATGAATAGGAGGGGCCGACAGGAAGGGAGATTATTGGAGTGGAGGGAGACAGAAAACTCGAGAGGACGCAGACGACCATACCAAAGAAAGAGAGAGGTAGAGACAGGAGAGATCGAAGAGAAGTGCGCGTGAAGAATGTACCTTAAGAGGAGAGAGAGAGGGAACAATTAATACATGGACGGGAGAGAGAGGAGGCAAATTCGACTGGGGATAAAGTGACGAAGAGAATAAGATATAAGAGATAAGTAAAAAGAAGAAGAAAGTATAAGAGAGGAGAGGGACGGACGACCCGGGAGGAGGGGGATGGGAGCGGAAGGAGGAGAGGGTGGGGGGTGGTGATGGGGGAGAGAGGAAGGAGAGAAGAGGAGAGAGAGAAGGGAAGAGAGAGGGAGAGAGAGAGGGAGAGTCAATACTGGCTTAACAGCGTTGTATCTTCATCTAAAGTAGTTCTTATTTTTAAACTCATTGTCCCCTAGTAGATCCTCGTTGATTAATTTTCGACAATCACCATGGATTGCTAATTAAACATGTGCTTCTTGAGTGAACCGGGTGGAAAGGGCGCATTTTCGAGGTGAACCAAACGCGTATATAAACTACACTTCTTCGCAGATTCGCTACGAATCTGCTCTCTCGTTTTCGCTTAGTTTGCGGTAAACACCTGCTAAC